TGTCTGGAATGCAGTAAGAATTTAATAAATGATGGCTAATTTGGCTTGACCTGGCTTCACCCTTTGATTTAGGACATCACTATCCCAATTACTCTCCATATTTTCTTCTCCTCCTACTATACCTTAAAACTGACTCATTATCACCGAAGGTGATTCTAAAGCTTTCAATGAAAAATATCCTAAAAGGACCCAAATATTATCTTTGCAAAATTCTTCAGATGCCTCATCTCAATAAAAATGATGCAAGTAAAAGTTTCAAAAATCATATGAAACTTAAAAAACAAAATTGCAATAACATTCTAGACAATTTAAGTACTTCCCAAAAGGCTATGCCTATGAACACAGAGCAAGTTTTAAAAAATAATCACTTAATCCAGTTAAACAACCTTTTAGTAACTGGTTATTTATCAGTTATTTTCAAAGTTGACTAGTTGCTTGGTTAAATTGATTTCCTTTTAAATTTTGCCCCCAAATGGTTTCTGTGTTAGGTAATCATAGATACTGAGGCTAAAACAGCTGGTGTTAGCTCTTGATGTCTGTCCATCAATCACATGAGAAAAGAAGTGAAAAAATATTTTTAAGTTGTTAATAGTAACGAAGTTTAATAGGGAAGAAGTAAAATATTTTTCTTAGGAGGAATGGCTAAGTAGCAGCTTGTCTGAAAAAAGGTCTGGGGGCTTTAGTGGACCACAAAACTCAACGTGAGTCAACAGTGTCAAGCAGCATGCAAGAAAGCTAATGCTGACCTCGGTCTACATTAAGAAAGGAAGAAATAAGGTGGTGAGAATTCAGCCAGACACTGCCCTGGACAGACTCGGACTGGAGCAGTGTGTTCAGTTCCAGGTACCACACTTTATAAAATGAAGTCAACCTAAGCTGACTTCCCTAGTAGGTTTAAGAACCTACCACGTTTCAGGTACTGTGCTAAGCACTGGGGATACAAAGAAAGGCAAAAAAATAAAAGTAAAGATCAGTCCCTACTCTCAAAGAACTCCCAGTCTACAGGAGAAGACAACACAAAATCTACTATATGCAAATGAGATATGTGTGTATGTGTGTGTGTGTGTGTGTGTGAGAGAGAGAGAGAGAGAAGGAGAGGGAGAGAGAGAAGTGGGGGAGAGGGTGAGAGAGAGAGAGAGACAGAGAGACAGAGAGAGAGAGAGAGAGACAGAGACAGAGAGACAGAGAGTGTTTATACACACACAGAAAGAAGTGGGGAGAGCATCCAGAGGAAGACAACCAGTATGGTAAAGGACCTTGAGTTCATATCCTATAAGGATTGATTGAAGGAAATTCAGATATTCAACCTGGAAAGGATGAAACTTGGGAATGAATGCATATGATATCATTCTTCAAGTATCTGAAGGGCTGGCTATCCCATAGAGGAGAGATTAGAACTTGTTCTGCTTAGGCAGAGGGGGATAAGTAGAAGTGAGGCATGGAAGTAGCAAGTTTGGGCTGGATGTCAGGAAAACCCTGTCAATGATTAGGGCTCTCCACAAGCTGAATGGTCTACCTCTGAAGTCAGCATATTCCTCCTTATTGGAGGTCTTCCGATAAAGACTAGATGATCACTTATTAGGCATGTTATAGCCGGGGTTTCCTTTTCAGGTACACACTGGACAAAATGGTCACTGAGATTCCTTCCGTCTCTGCAATTCTGTGATTCTGTGATTTTCTGTTGACTTGCCATCAAATGACACATATTGTACTTCTGTCCCCAAAGGCTTCCCGTGCTCTCCACCATCAGGCAGGATTGTTTTCTGGTTCATTTTCTTAGCTCACAATTACTGTGCTGATGGATATCTAAGCCCTTCAAATTTTTGCTAAAATGCTAAAGCAGTAAACTATTATTATTAACTGAAGTTTTTTACCCTGGAGGAAAGAAGACCTAATATGGGTGGTCGTGGTGAATAATAAATGTCTTCAAAGTTGTCTTGTGGGAACAGTCACTACACTTATTCCTCTTAGTTCCAGAGGATAGAACCAGGAGCACAGAGTAGAAAATAGAGAGAGGCAGATCAGTTCAGTATAAGCAAAGATTCCTAAGAATTAGACCTATCCAAACACAGAATGGTCTGCTTTCAAGTCAAAGGAGGTCTTCAAGATGAGACAATAATTTGCTTCAGATACATGCTGGACTAGTGCTTAGCACTAGTTCTTGGTACTTAATAAGTGCTTAATAAATGCTTATTGACTGACTGACTGACTAAAAGACCATAGTCCAGTGGAAAGAGGCTTTGGAATTAGAGGACCTGGGTTCAAGTCTTCTGCCTCTCATTTACTACCCATGTGATCTTGTACAAGTAACTAAAGCTCTCCTGGCCTAGTTTCCTCATCTGTAAGATGAAAGAATTGGATTATGGCCACCGAGGTCCCTTCTAATTTGAAAACATCAGCTCCTATGATCTCGTTCCTTTGAAGTCATTAAAAGATCCAGAGCTGGTGGGGCCCTTGGAGATCATTGAATCCAAACCCCTCATTTGGCAGATGAGGAAACCAGGGTTTTCTCATCCAAGGTCAGAGAGTTAGTCAGTGCCAAATCTGGGATTCAAAATCAGGTCTTCAAATCCAGCATTCTTTCCACTGTACCATTCCAGTCCTAAAATTCTGTTATTTGATGCTGAGCCAGCAGAGGTTGGAGTCCAAATTGCATCAGCCTTACTGTTTGGCTTTCAAATTATTCTCAATTGGCATTATAAACACCAAGCTAAATAAATCAGAAGGAGCTTTTTCAACCCAGTAAGATGGTTTTCTACAATTACATCTGAGCAGCCTTGAGCCCTAGAGAAAGGGAAGGAAGGTCCCAAGCACCTCCTCCCCTTCTCTTTGCTTCAAGACCAGTTGCAAAGTCTAAACTGATAGGTCCCCTTTTAAGCCATGACTCCACATTGATTCTCACAAAGTAAATTCCAAGGCAAATTTGCTAAGTCTACAAATCAAATTGTTCCAGTTGTCAGCCCCACATCTGCCCCCTGGAAACTAAAAAAACCCAGCTGATATCTGTCTCTAGCTGTCCTCCTTGGTAATAGAGATTCTGGAATTACATTTTATCTGGTGATTTGGATGGTGATGCCAGAGGCCTAATATACTTTGTGCAGGACAGCTGTGCTCATCTGCAAATAAAATGCCAACTTGTCAGGATTCCTTTCTCCAACAAAATACTTCCACCTCCCACTGAGGACCCCATTAAGGACAAAGTCCTGGAATTCTCTGTTAAGAATAGATTTGGGTCCTGGGGCACTGATCTAGGAACTAAACAGTTCTAACCTGGTCGGATTCCCTCAGATAATTATAGAGTTCATCTGCATCAGTCATCATAGCCCTTATGTCTTATCCCGGAAAGATGTTGATAGTATTCTTTTCATAAACACCCCTTTCAGAACATACACACATCTTTTTTTGAGCCACTAGGAAGCAGAGAGGCTCAAAACCCAAGATTTTTGCCCTAGTCAAAGGTGAGCCTTCCCTCTCTCCTCCCTTAAATCTTTTAGGCTACTCTATATGACTATATAAATGTATGCATTTAATCAGAGTTATAACTAGTATTATCTTTTTTTTGGCCCAGACCTGTGATTTCATCAGTGTGGAAACCCCTTTCATCCATTGGCAATCCACTTATAATTAATAGCCTCAGGGAGGTATCTGAAGGTGTTGAGAGGCTTAATAATTTGTCTGTGGTCACATAACTAATATGGGTCCGAGGCAGGTCTTGAACCAGACTCTGAGGCCAGACCTCTAGCTACTAAGGCTAGTAGTGCTTCTCATTACTATTACATGCATGGGATAACTTATCTGATCTTAGGATCGTAGGATTATTAACCTAGAGGTCATTTAGCCCAACCTCTGTTAGAGAAAGAAATGGCAAACCATTTCAATATCTATGCCAAGAAAATGCCAGATGGGGTCACCAATAGTCAGACACTATCAAACAACAACAACAAAAAAGCCCAACCTCTTCATTTTAAGCCCAGAGAGGTTGCTACCCCTTTCCTCTATTAGACCATAAGCTCCTTGAGGACAAGGACTTCCTAAAAAAACAAACAAACTTTGTATTTCCCTCCCCATCCCAACCCCTCACATACCCAGCACCATACCTTGTACCAAGGAGGGATTTAATAAAGCATAATTGAGTTGAACTATGAAGTTCAACTCAATTAACCATTAATCAGTCAAGTAAGGGACCAGTATCAAACCAATCTGTTAATTTCTAAGTGAAATCATCTGTAAAACCCTCTCCTCAATGGAATCAAAAGAGTTCCAGCTAGTAGTCAATATTCAATAGCACCAAACTCCAATATAACCAATGAATTTAGACAGGCAGTCGCAATTAGGGTTAGGTAATGTAATGAGGTTTGCCTTGTACTAGTGACAGCATACTTATATTAAATCCACAGAAAATCCCCTAAACTCATTTGGCCTAGGAATTTTATCCTCCATGCCCAGCAGAAGCTGCAAATGCACTGGCAAAGTAATAGATCTGAGTTTTCATTTTTTTTTTTCCTTTTCACAGGCAGAGGGAGATACTGTCTGAGAAGGGAAATGACAGGAAGGTAGGCATCAGGAGACAAGAAGGCATCAATAATCCACAAACTGCATAATCTGTTCCTGTGTAATTAAGAGCAAATATCATCCCAAGAGATCACAGTTTAAATAATGCAATACCTGTACTCTACATTATCACACTGTATAAATCTTAGTTAATGTACATTTTGATATCTTTTGTGGCATCCCACTTTTTGTGACCCCATTTGAAGTTTTCTTGGCAAAGATCCTGGAATTGTTTGCCATTTCCTTCTCCAGCACATTTTACAGATGAGGAAACTGAGGCAAACAAGGTTAAGTGACTTGCCCAGGGTCAGACAGTTAGTAAGTATCTCTGGCCAGATTTGAACTCAGGAAGATGAGTCTTCCTGACTCCAGGTCAGGCACTGTATCCACTGCAGCACCACCTAGCAGCCCTAACTGTATCTTAGGGAGTCTTATAATACAAAGTCTACCTGGAAAATAAAAGCCGTTTTCCTCTGATCTTGCAATAACCTTCTGACCTTTGAGGGGATCAACTCTTTTGCTTTTGAATTTCTTCTGTTGACTTTGTTGTGATTTCTGTAGGGTGAAAAAAAAAAGGATAGAGATAGAATGATTATACAAAACTTGATGAAGAAAATAGTAAAAAAAAAAAACAATGAGGAAGTGGATGTACAAGATCTCTAAAGACTCAGAAAGGAAGTTTTGCAAAATTATATAACAAATAAATACTCTGTGTGCTCATGCTATTAGGTGCACAGCCCCCACCCCCACACACATTTACACGTCTTCCCCTCCCCCCCACACACGTATCCATATACACACAGGCCATCAAGCCCAATCCCTTCATTTTATAAATGACTAGACTGGGCCCCAGGAAAGAGAAGTGACCTCCCCAAGGTCACAGAGGCAGTTAACATTAGAATCAAGATTTGCTAATTTCAGAATCAGGGCTCTTTCCACTGGGCCAGGCTGCGTTTTGCATGAATAAAAAATCCAGTAGAATATAAAGCTCCTTGAGGGGAGAGAATCGGTTCTTTTCATCTTTGTATGCTCAGTGCCTGGAACAGAGCAGGTGTTTGATAATTCCTTGTTGAACAGAGTAGATATTTCATAATTTCTTGAATTAATTATCTCATCTGAGTTTGTCGATAGTACAGCAGTCAGTAGTTTCTTTGATAAGTGGTTTCTTCCATAGAAAATATGGAGGAAGCTAAACAAAGAACGGGCAGCTATGTGGCACAGTGGATGAAGTGCCTGGCTTGGAGTCAGGCTCTTCTTCCAGAGTTCAAATCCAACCTCAGACACTTAACTAGCTATGAGATCCTAGGCAAGTCACTTAACCCTGTTTACCTCCATTTTCTCCTCTGTAAAAGGAGCTGGAGAAGGAAACGGCAAACCACTCCAGTATTTTTGCCAAGAAAACCCCAAATGGGGTCATGAAGAGTTGGACACAATTGAACAACAAACAATAGAGAAGGCCAACTCCATGTCTAAGCAGACCGAGAAAAATGGCAACCCAAACTTGATTCTTCCCACCTCACAAATCCCACATCAAAGGTTGGAAAGAATAAAGTTGAGTCAACCCTGATGATCACTGTCATCAAGAGGAGAAACAGACTCCGTTCCTGATTATCTACGGGTTTAAATCAGGCAATGATCGGATTATCCACGCTCCTCCATGCTCCTTGTCATTTTATTCCTCCTGTTTGGTGGCAGGGTAGATGAAATTTAAATCGGTTAATTTCATGCCTTTGCCCGCCATTGGTGTCTGGGTTTCTTGGGGGAAGAGGACTGAATTAATACAGACCAAATCAGATTTGGGGATTGTCTGTGGATTTCAATGATTTATGCTACTTTTGCTGCCCATGACCATAGATAATTGAGAGCTGGCTGGACTCTTCTTGAAACTCACCAACCCCTGACTTGAGAATAATATTGGTCGCAGCCTTTCCCATACATAGTAACAGAGGGTGGGAATCATGAAGAAAGTCTCACAAAGCCTTCGAGGAATCAAGAAGATGGTGAGGCCCTCTGAACTCCAGGCTTCTTTCAAGGAGTCATAATAATAAGTAATATTTACATAGTGCTTCAAGATTTGCAAAACACTTTATAACAATATCTCATTTGAAACTCACAGCAACGCTGAGGTAGGTGCCGTTATTATCCCCATTTTGCAGATGAAGAAACTGAGAAAAACAGAGGTTAAGTGGCGTGCCTAGAGTCATACAGCTAGTTAAGTGTCTTAGGCGTGACTGGAACTCAGGTCTCCCTGGACTACGAATCCAACATTCTGTACCCCAAGCCACAGTGTTCCATTTTTTGTTTGTTTTACCACAAAAAGATGGAGCATAAGGAGCACAGACAGACAAACTCAAGAAGGATTAGCAGCATGCACATACGCACACAAACAAACAACTATAAACCAACATGATTTGCAAAGCATAAAATCAAATTAGCAAACAGAATTGTACCCTGCCAGATACAACTGTTTAGCCACAGGAAAATTAAGGGAAGGAGAGCTGCTTGACTGTGATCTCCCTGAGGACAGAGACTGTATCTTTTTCATCTTCCTTTCTCCCATAGCCCCAGCATAAAATTGAATCCAGTGTGTGCTCAGTGCATGCTGAATGTATGAATGAACACTAAGGGGTCACATTCTAAGCCAACAAAGCATCCTCTCCCCATCATTTTTCATTTGGCGTGGTCTGTCCCAGCCGGAAGCTGGGATCCAAAACCTTCCAAATCCTGCAGGAAAGCATAGACAGTTGCTATCCTGATACCACGTCAGGATAACATCCTGCTGGGAAAATTAACCACAATGAAAAGCAACAACAACAACAGCCCTCTTCTGCCTGTCTTTGGAAAAGCTAGACAAGAGACAAAAGACCCTTTGTTGTATCTGCTTCCTTTGCGCAAGGGATCCACTTGAAATGAGCAAAGCTTTGCTTCAGTTTCCTACAGTAGCATACTACATGAGGTCCCTCAAAGTGTGGTTGAAACAGCCTATGCTAATGAAAACGCCAGCCTCAGCCCTGTCTTCTTCCTGACTCCCCAAGGTGTCTTGGAAGGAATGGATATTGAATGAATGAAAAAGCCTTTATCAAGTACTTACTAAATTAAGAGAAAGATGGGCATTCATTCTCTGGCCTGCAATTAGGTGATTTATATATACACATACATATATGTGTGTGTACATGTATATACATATATATGTATGCACATATGTGGGTGTGTATATACACACATGTACACATGCATACTTGTTCAGGTTTTTTTTTCCCCAGTTGTGTCCAACTCTTTTTGATCCCATTTGGGATTTTCTTGGCAAAGATGTTGCCCCATTTCCTTTTTGAGCTCATTTTACAGATGTGGTAAACAGGGTTAAGTGGCTTGTGGGCAGTCACCCAGCTAGTAAAGCTAGTGAGTGTCTGAGGCTGGATTTGAACTCAGGAAGATGAGTGAGTCTTCCTGAGGCCAAGCCTGGTACTCTATTCACTGTACTACCTGGCTGCTCATATATATACATATATATGTATGCATGCATACATGTGTGCATCTATAGATGTATATAGATGTGTACATCTGTATTTATACATGTGTGTATAGCTAATATCTATATGTGTATATAGATGTGAATGTTTTATGTATATCAAATTTATATCATATTCATGTAATATAATATTACTAGTATTATATATTGGTATAATATAATATCAGCATAATATGATAATATTTATTAGTATGTGTATTAGATCTATTTTAAAATCAAAAGATAAGCTAAATGGATTATCTTCCTGAAATGGCTGCAATGCAGAAACTGAGACTTGCTTAGGGCTCCCTCCTAAATGAATTGGTTTTTCATTTTTTTTTTCCTACAGAGATCATTAACCCTGCCACCTCTTGAATTTCTCAAATAAAGCAAGGAATAAGAGGCACTCTTCCCAGTTGGAGGCTGGTCAACCAAGCAGGCAAAGGTACTATCCCTTACAAAATCATATCTTCAGGAAGGAGTTTGTTTCGTAGGTTCAGCCTAATGTTATTTATTTGTGGCCCTGAAGCTGCATTTTAAAGTATTACTTCAGTGAAGAAAGGGATTAAAAATATCTCTTATACAATCTCACTTAAAGTCATGCATACTTATGGATGTTTCTTTAATTTATGAGGCAACTGATTATACAAATTAAAATAACTTCAGGGAGTCTGAATATCATTTGTTCTGGAACCATTATTCTTGCTAAATTCAGTTTGGGCTCTGCAAATATCTGGGCTTCTTTCTCTGGTGCAGTGATGCCACTTATAAAAGACAAAAACAATAGCATTGGTTTATTATTCAGATATCAGGTATTTTGTACAGGGTTGGTAAAGGAAACAAGGAGGTGATTTATGTCCTTGGAGACTCAAACACAAAGCCAGGGCCCAAGAAATAAAAATGTAATGAAATGTTTATCTGTAAAATGGGGATAAACTGGGCACCTTCCTTAAAAGGTTGTTGGGAAGATCAACTGAGAGGAAGAAGGAGGGAAGGAAGGCAGGCAAGAGACATTTATTAAGTGCATACTATGTACCAGACACTATGCTATAAGCTTAGCAATTATTGTCTCATTTGAGCCCTACAATCCAAGAGGTAGGCACTATTATTATCCCCATTTTACAGTTGCGTAAACTGAGGCAAATGGGTTAAGTGGCTTGCCCAGGGTCACACAGCTAATAAATATCTGAGGCTTGATTTGAATTCAGGTGGTCCTGACTCCAAGCCTAGCACTCTCCCCATTGTACTAACTACCTTTTAACATATGTAAAGTGCTTTGTCCTAAATAATGCTGGCTGTTATTATTGTAACCATTATTGTTACTATTACTAGTTATTGTTATTAGAAGCCAAGTTCTGGAGAATAATCTTTTCTTGTAAAGCCTTCATAGCTAGGGATATATTTAGAGCAGCTGGGTGGTGCTGTGCCGGTCCTGATGACAGGAACACTCATCTTCCTGAGTTCAAATACAGCCTCAGACAATTCCTAGCTGTGTGACCCTGAGCAAGTCACTTCACCCTGTTTGCCTCAGTTTCCTCATCTGTAAGATGAACTGGAGAAGGAAATGGCCAATCACTCCAGTATCTTTGCCAAGAAACCCCCAAATGAGGTCACAAGGAGTCAGACACAGCTGAAAAATGACTGAACAACACTTTCGTAGACAAGCAGGCTATACAATACTGGTTAGTAGCTAGAGAGTTAATTGGCCTCATGTCAGGAAGACCTGGCTTCTGTGACTAACTATGTGACCCTGAGCAAGCCACCCTAAGTCTAAAATGAAAAAAAAAACATTCATTAAGCCTTTACTGAGCCCAAAGAACTGTGCTGCTACCAGAACACACAAATAGAGAAGATAGTCCTGGCTCTCGAGGAATTTACGCTCTAATGGGTGGAGAGACCACAAGTATACGAGGTTTCAGCTGGGAGTCAGTTGGAAAGGTACCATGGTCTTTAGGGAACAGTGGTAAGGCAGATAGAAGACAATGCATCTTCTTCTTCCATTCATCAAACCACCTCACTTGCTGATGTTAAACAGGTTAGCTGTGGG